ATTGTCAAAAATCGTCAATAAATTCCAACGTACGATCAACAATGCCCCAGTTGGTAGGAGCGGAAAAAGGAAGAGCGAGGTGGCAGAGTTTCGTGGAAGTAATAACGAGCAAGTATACCAAAATTATACACGAACCTACGGATACCGGCAGTCAGAGATTGCGAGTAAGTCGGATACAGAGACCACGGTGCAGAAGGCAGCCACTATGTCTGAAAAAGAATACTTTATGCCGAACGGGTGTCGGAAGAACTCTGCACAAATAAATGTAACCGCGGTCTGGTTGACGGCGCAAAAGAGCAGCTAATGTTACGTGTCAAATGGAACCGCGGGCCGGATCCCGTCTACGAAAAATCAAGCGTCACTGAAGGTAAGATATAAGAGTAATACAAACATGGGGCCACGGGGAAATCGAGCTTGCAGACCGGATTATTAGCTTGTCCTCCACGCGACGGGCTTCATTTTCGCTCTCAGGACATCCTGCTTTTATCCTTGAGCAGACATTCTGAAATAGATAGATTTTGCGCGAAGTTGCAAGCGAACATAGACAGGCAAAAAATCTTGACATTAATAAATGGTTTTGCGTTGTTGTTGCATTGGGCCGCTTGTAGTTAGCACTACGCCCGTGCCTACGCATTCCAAAATTAAAAGCCCTAACCTATGCATGATAGCTTAATCAGATGGTCATTTATGCCATAACCATGTGTGCTGTCGCTCCACGGTGCCTGTACAAGAGAACAAAATAGAAAACACGCTTCGAACTACGGATCATGCGGTCTGTACTCTGTCACCTTAATCACTAGGCTATCTCGAGATCATCTTCACCCGATGATGAATCTGGAATGAAAAATGAACATTCAGTTTAATCTCTTCTACGTCCTTGGTGAAGTTGTTCATACGTCTTACTGTTTTGAAGGTGGGCTTTTTCAATTTAGCCAGTTAATCCCATACTCGATCATGAAGGTTATTTGAGTATGGCGATTTTGGACCCGGTGAGGTTAAAGCTAAAGAGCGGTGCACACAATGCAGTCGCAATATCAAGTGACATAGAACTGACCCCGAAAGATCTCATGGGTCTTCAAACACGTACCCATGAATCTAGCCGTAGTGAAGATCTGGTGTCTCGGTGGGCGCTTACTGTCCCTCTTGAACAATAAATCCCAGTCAGTCCACGTCTGCTTGCTGTTAGTTATACTTTGTAGCTTATTATGAACAACAGTTTCGTTGTCCCTATCATAACTTATAACCATCCCATTCTCATCCGCGTTAGCAGTTTCATCAATCACGGGATCTGTCTTTGGACACCGCATGTCATCTCCGTGCCTGCTTTGGTAAACAGCGTTTGTTATCTTCCATACCTCAGATACATATCACATTGAAGGGTGCTTTCTGTTTCAGGCTATACTGGGGCTCTTCTCTTTGTCTGTCACATGGGGTTGGTCGTCTAACTCTTCGTTCATGCCGAGGTTTTGTGACCCATTTTCACTTCAGCAATCCCTCAATAACCGAAATGCATGAGCAACTAAGATAGCCAAACCTGCTACGAACCGTTTCTGTTTATGCTGATCATCTGACTGTGGACTGCAAGGTTCACGTCATCTTATTGCACCCAGGTCAAATGTCCCTCAACCCACATCGGTCGATGAAACCGACTGCCTATAATCCATGCATTCACTGCGACTTATCTTTCCATCAATATTCGTTTTACCTGATCGGCTCCTTCTCTCCCTACTCAGCCCTAAACACATAAAACCTCCCTCCATACCATGTCGACCACTTCAAAACCCCATGCCACCGATGGCGCAGACTTCATAATGGTTAGCTAATCTTGAAGCCTTAGCGCGCTCAAAAATAATGATCCTACCTCCGTAAGGGCGGACCAGCTAACCACCTTATTTAGGTGGGCCGACTGCAAAATCACTGACGCCTCAACTATGCCTTTTGGAATTGTCTAAACGCACACCTGAGCTACCTGCGTAGCTTCTTTGACAACCATACAACTAGATATGACCATGGTCATGCACCGTAACGAAGAGTCTGGACATTACCGTGTTCTGACGTTCTGTGTACCTCCGCGCCCCACTGAGCTATACCGGTGAGTGTCCGTGTGACACGTAAAGTATGTCATGCCTGGCTGGTCAGTGACTGAATGCCTGAAGAATAAGCCGTCCCGACCTACCGTGTTTGAGGGCGGAGCACGTTCATCTACATGTAACGTTAAATTTGAAATACACTTGCCCTTCCCATCAAACACCGCTACCTTGCGGTGAGGCTTTTGAACCAAAGCCTTTGGTTTAAACTCTGTCTGTCCAAGTATGTGTTTCTCAGCATTATCGTGGCCCACGTACAATCACGTATTTCACGGTCTTGCGGCAGCGAAACATAAGTGTTAAACAATGATGTAATACAGTTGATGATGATGTTGAACACTTTCTTAACAAATGTCCCGCGTATTGACGTATGGCCGCAGACATTCGCGTTGACCACACATCGTCACACCTTGTATGAATGGAATCGAGAATACCCCAGATCCATAATGGCCTTATGCTATCGCGATATTAAAGACAACCTTGACAACCCTGACGGCTCCCAATGACTCATCAAAGATGTTTACGTACCCACATAAGACTGCGATGACGGTATCACGACTGGTATACCCAGTCTAATGGACTGTCCGTAGTTCAGCGTATCTATTCTATTCCTCAGCCGGGCTCATTTGGGGGACAAAAAGATGGTCTCAATCTGCTGATATGTGCCAGAAACCAAAGCACTAGCCACCGGTACATTAAGGTGTAATAAACTGCCTTGCAATCAATCAGGCGTGTGCCGACTAATATACTGAGATTTGCCAAACAGTCCAGCCGTGAAGAACTCCTCTTTGCTTGGTAAACCTATTCTGCACAGGTCGCGAATGTCCTCCCCACTAGGTTTGCGCAGAAAACCAGCATATTTATTGTTCACTTGCACTTTCAAAACACTTCCAAATCCAATACAGGAGAAAATACTTGAAGAAAACAAGTATTCCATATTCCACCGAAATAGGAATTCCGCGCCCAGAGTACACCTTGAGTAATCTTAAACGAATGTCGGCGAAAGTGCAACAGACTAGGGAGATTTTATTGTTCCGAATAAGTACTGTCAAACCTTATGTGACAGGGTTCAGGGTATGGTCTCTGAGAAATTTGGGGGTTGTCTAAGGGTCGCAGAGCCAGGACGACTCTTACTTCTTAACTGAGTTTAAGATCGATGTCAACCGCCCTCGTTACCTTACCGATCACTCGGCTACCTTTCGAGCGTCTTCGAACTTTCCTGATTCCCTACGTTGTAATTCCGCGTTTGAAGCAACAGGGCTGTTTAATTCAGCATCTTTCTATTAAAATTATTATTTCCTTATTTATTTCAATCAGGTATCACCTGATACTACAGGGGTCCAAGATACCTTGGTGATTTAGGCACGGCCTTACTGACTGTGAGTGCCATGGTTCAGAACAAATCTCAGGATCTCAAATGTCCCTGTCTAGGCCTGGGTAACTCAGCAGTATCCTTCCATCGGGTGGCATGACCGCTAGGTACTGAAAGAGTGCTTCACCCCAGCGATTATTGCTTTTAATATTTACTTCTAATCGGCCACATGAACACAGATACCGTTAACCTCGTCAAGGCTCAGGAGCACAGGTAGCGAAGTTCCGTTCCCTTGCACCCACCTTCAGACACGCAACGGGAATCCGTGGCTAGAATCAAAGTCTACCAACCCTGTCTGCGAGACCCAGTTTTCCCATGCGTTTGTAAGCCCGTTGGACCGTTATGCTCGGAACCAATCAGCTATCAGAATTGTGTCGGGTCCGCTACTGAGTACCCCATTGTTGTTGTCGTCAGTGCGTTGCCTTTAGTATACGGTGTCTGTCAGTTTGATTGATTCATATGTAAGTATTGGTGATGAACAACCTTGCTTACTGGGCGTTGTCTCACGAGCTTTGTTTCGGTTTTCCATCCACAGAAATTGTCGTGAACACCTGCCTTCGGAGAATCACTGTCCCCTGTTGTTTCCACATTGTGCATATTACATGCCTGCTGGTTTGATTGATTTATATGTAAGTGTTGGTGATGTACAACCGGGCTTCAGCTCATCGGCTTTATTGTTGTTGTCGTGAACCCCCATCTTCGGAGGATCACCGTCCCCTAGTGCTTCCGTAAAACGCGCACTACAGTGGCGATGTGTTCTGACACTGGTTAACTCTGGGCTGGCAGTATTTGTGCTTGTCGTTTGAGGGTTTTTCACCCTTCACTCTTATCACTCCTTCCTTTTAACGTGCAAAGAAACCAAACTTGAAGGCCGGCTAACTTTGAGCTCAGGGGCAGTTCTATGGATTTTATTAATAAGACCTTGGACAGAGTTCTGCACTAGATAAAAAATAAAAATAATCGTTCTCCTGTAACACCCTTTCAATACTTAGCTGCCATGGCACCCAAGAAAAGTATGATGGCCGGGATACCGCCAGGTTGTCTCAGCCTAGACAGAAGTCAAGATGCAGTCAGTACTCTAGTCAGTGAATTTTCTCGGCCACACATCAGAGGCTAACACTAGAACTGGCTTCTTACGGCACCAATAAATGGACTATATAAATAAAGGTCAGTGATCACTTGTCCTGTAAACACACAGAACCCAGCAGTGGTCCTCAAGGGTTTCATAACACACCTCAACATTTGGCCTTAATATATCACTCTGAGCTATCTTTTACCTACGTTGGACAAACTACTTGATTAGTACGCATCCTACAGAGGGCGAGATGGCCCAAGTAGGTAGAGCGCGAATTTACTGACCGAAAGGTTCGTGGTTCGAACCCGACCTCCGCCTCTCGACTTCCCCTGTCTAGGCTTGGACAACCTGGCAGTATCCCAGCCCTCGTGCTTCCTTCTGGTGGCATGGCAGTTAGGCACCGAAATAATGCCACAGCTGAACGATTACCGTTTTTCGAGAACTACGGTCTCCGCGAGTTGACTCCAAAACGCTACCACGTGGTGTTGATCACTCCGAAACTCCGGGTAGTGGCTCATTCAAAAAAAGTAAACCAGATGATCACATGGCCGTCGATCATGCGACCCAGAGGACTTTTCTGTCTCCATTTCGAATTATGGACACCCTGCCATCTGTCTGCTGATAAAACAGGAAGTCCTACTTCTGGAACGTAAACCGCTACACCCAACCTGCGGGAATTCCCCGCCTAAGTTCACTAATCAAACAGTGTCAGGCAAGGTTGTTCTCTTTCACCTTTCATTCGTTAGGGGTATGGTCATTTGAGTCATCATCATCATCGACAGCATGACATCAGTGTTCAACACCGATGCTTCACTGCCGTACAACCATTACTTATTTGAAAGCCTTATTGTAAAGGAGAGTAAAGGTGGACGGGGGATGGACTTAGTGCTAGCTTAACACAATCATTTCGAGGTGCCTACACCTCCAGACATTCACTCAGGCAATCTGGACAGAAACTGACAACAAGAACGCCACTGACATCGGTTGGCAGCCATATCTTGTA